GCACTATGCCAAAAAAATGACAATTCCTTCAACCTTGAACAAGTGATATTTTTTTAATTGAAAATGTAATCATAAAGGTTTATTTATATTTACAAAATGTGTCAATTGAAGGGAATAAAGAATGAGTTGAAAAACTTCAATAGTCAATAGTTCATTGGTTAATTGTAGATTGATAATGAAAAGAATTGAGCCGTCTCACTTACCAGTTATTCTCCTCATGGCTCCTTTTTTTTAAATCCTCCACAACCTTTGGCGAAGAAGGATCCACACAAAACAAACAGAAATTTCCCGGCTGTTGTGTACGAGGGGCGAAGGAGGAACACAGACAAAAACTTACAAACCGCGAATGTAAACAAGTTGTACACCCGCTGAAAACGTGACCCGCTTCCGGGAGACTATGAGGAACGGCATAACTGTTTTCATTGTCGCCCTTTAGAAATATATCGTATATTATATTAATAAAAATCCTCCTGGGGGAATGTTCAAATAAACATGATTGACTAGAAAGAGCGAGGAGGGGCAATGCACGGCGGAAGATGGCGTTAACAACTGAACAAGTTTGAAAGTGCAGTGCATCGGAATAGCCAGGCCTGCCAACGCAACGCCATGGGCGGCGGGAATTTCTCCACGGGAACACCGGCGAAGTTCACTTCCGGCTGGACAAAAATCTTTTCTCATGACCATCTTAATTCCTAAAATTTCTGATTCATACTACAACTATTAATTTCTTTTCCATATTTAATATACAACCAATATGCAATGTCTACTAAAAAAAATTGTATATCTTGTTTCTACTATATTCTACAATTTTTCCTTGGTTTATCGTATTTTGACGTAACTTTTTTCAGGTGGTTACGAGAAATGCTTTCAAAAATTTAAGTATAACAATAGGAAAAATTATATACTAATATATTTATTATCACCTCTAAGAACCAACGTATTAATTTCTGGCAAAAAGTTTATTTCAAGATGAGGAGGAGAGAATTATGAAGAGTGAGAAAGAAAAACGGGATAGATTTTATATTACCACGCAAAGTTAGGTCTCGTGAAATATGACAGAAAGATTAAGAGAGAGAGAAAAAAAGAGAGAGATAATGATAGTAAAGAGAGAATATGAAGATAGTAAGAGACAGAGACATGTTGACAGCCTTGCCCATCTTCCTAAGGTGATAGTTTAAAGAAGATGGCCGGTATAGAGGTATACAATTCTCCTCAAATCCTGCCAGGAGACGAGAGAAAGAGAGAGAGAGAGAGAGAGAGAGAGAGAGAGAGAGAGAAAGAGAGAGAGAGAGAGAGGGAGAGAGGAAGGTAGAAGGACAGGATAGTAAGAGAAGACAAACAGAGGGATTAAGATAAAGAAGGAAATAAAGAGAGAGAGGGAGCGATAAGAACAAGTTTAGAAATCTAGATAAATAGTAGAGTTAGAACGTAATAGATAGAAGAGGTACAGAATATGAGGGTGTGAAGATAGGAAGAGAGAGACATAGAGAAGGATTGAGACAGAGAAGGAGATAAAGAGAAAGAGAAAGGAGAGAGAGAGAGAGAGAGAGAGAGAGAGAGAGAGAGAGAGAGAGAGAGACATACATACAAAACAAGCAAGTATAATTAATTTTATTTGGAATTTCAAAGAAAAAAAAAAAAGGAGGTTCGACCACGATCATCCATTCAACATCACTTCTAAAGCTGACGAAATGATGAAACTTGTCAGCCTGTCACATACAGCGAGGGCGGTCGGACCAGAATGATCAATTCTCAGACAAAACGTTCAACAGCCCGCCGACTAATCAAGGATTCACAATCGAACTGGATATTTCACAGACAAACTGTTGACGACGGGATCTAAATTCCCTTTGGACCAATTTGCTTCCGTTTCTCATCAGGTAGTCTTTTACTGCTTCTACTTGACAAATGTTGGCCCAATTTGTAGGCACATGAACAAAGCCCAGGGCTTGATTAATGTTATATATTTACTATAATTATATTTACTAATACGAATATTTACTAAAATTACAAATGGTACTGTCAGACTCATTCGACACCAGGTAACCAGAAAAGTTACGTACGATTTTCATTTCTTTTTACATTGGAGGATTAGGTATATAATTAATACCAAGAAGATACTGCATCAGTTCATTAAGGGCTCATAAAATTTGCCCTTTTGGATGAAACAATAAGTAGTGCACTCCTCAAAAGTGGTTTAAAAAGTTTATAAAAGTACTCCTTCAAACACAAAGTACCACCTTTTGTTGGTGAACATTCATTTTTCGCGTCAATGGGACAAACCTTCTCAGCTAGTGAGCGAGGGCGAATGGTTTCATCGTTTACGTTGTTCAATAGCTTCCCTCAATTCGTCGTCTTAAGGTGGCTCCAGACACGCGGTATTCGCCGAATGACGATTGTGCCGAACATTTGCCAAGTCTCGAGATTCTCGTCCCGGAATTCGCCAAATAGCGTTCCTAAGTATTCACACATGCGGGGTTCGTACAGTCAGCCAGTATGTGCGGAACCTGCGAATACGTTCTATGCCAAGACTGTGTGAGTCCTCAACGTAATACCATCGTGATGGTCAACAGTGAAACTGTCATTGCTACAGCTGCGGTTACTGTTGTGTAGTGGCTACTCTACTCACAGAGTACTGTTGCTCATCGATCCTTTTTGAGGTTCAGAAGATAAGCGTCTTATGTTCAGCTTGGTACAGATCGAGGGATCCAAGTCTGTTATGTTAGGGAAATCGACTCCTAACCGACAGAAACAACGCTATGATGTTCTTTCATTAATACATCTACTATATAGGAATCGTTTATTATTGAAAAATAAATAACAGTTGATTGATGATTACAGTAGATAACCGTACAGTATAGTTTCTTTCCGAAGGTGTGAATGCTTTGAGCTCGACTACTTCACGAATATTTTTGAACTTTGAAGCGGACAAGGGAACCGACAATTACCCGACCAAGGCGAGCCCTGAATATTGTTGTTCGGCGAATAACCCCACTAGTCGGGATTCGCGAACCTTTGATTGGCATTCGGCGAATCCCGCACGTCTGGAGCCACCTTTATAATACACAGAAAAGTTGCAAATTGCCTTCAACAATACTTACATTTCAACGATATCAGAAATTATGTGATTTGGTACTCACCTGAAACAAAAAATAAAAACAAATTAAGGTTAGTAGTGTAACCACTTTACACTACTTTTTCAAATTATTTTCATATAAAAAGCGATGGGCTACGCTAGGATTCGAACCCAGAAGCACTATAGTGTCAGATGAGAGTCGGAAGCCCAACCCTCGGCCACAGCAGTCCCCATTAGTTACTTTTGTGTTTTTCCTAATGACAATCCAAAAGTAAATGATTTTGTTTCTTGTTGTTGTTGTTTTATTGTAAATATATCTTATTACTAAATAGGTAAAGGTTTTTCTAAATTTTACACTCCTCAAATTAAACATATCTCGAAAATTCACAACTACCGTTCTATTCAAATTTCTTATGTTTAAAACATCCACCATAGTTATGTTCACGTAGTCAACTAGAAAACTCGAATTTTAATCTCTGGAGACTTAAAAAGAACAATCGACAAGAATAGAAGAATATTTATTTAATTGTATAATTTATTTTAATTATAATGTAGTTTTTCACCACGACAAAACCCGCCCCATGTAGCTTTGAGGACCAAATAATTATTAACTAATCAGAATTTGGAAATTTTACCACACCCACCATACTCTCCGGATATTGATATTTCACCTTGTGACTACTATTTATTTTGGTCATTACAAAAGTTTTAAATGGTCAAAACTTGGAAAATTTTGAAAGCGTTCAAAATTTGCTGGACTCAAAAGAAGAGAAATTTTTATGCGATAGGAATTGACAAGATACCTGAAAGATGGCAAAAAGTAATAGCCAACAATGGACAATACATCTCTCGTTAAAAACACGCCAGGTAGGAAAAAATAAAAATATATACTGTAAAAAAAGTTATTATAGGTCTTGTCAAATCAATAGTTGTCGGTTGGGATGACGAATTAAGTCTCGAGGACCGAAGTCACGATAGCTCAGGTGGTAAAGAGAACCCGGGGTACTTCGGATATCGTTGGTTCGAATCCCGCTCGTTACACTAATTTTTCATCCCAACCGCCTTTGCATAAACATATGTACTTATCCCATGTTTATGTTGTTATGTTTTACCAACCTTAAAAACAGGTTAAGATGACTAATACGAATAAAACTATGTAACATAATACGATCTACCTGTATATTAGTACCAGACCCTTATATAAATGTAATCGCATATAATACTGTAGTAATGAAAAAATATTTACTTATTAAGTTACTTACAATTACACACTTCAATATTAAAATAAGGCCTTAAAGAGTTATTTTAAACGTAAAAGAAACTTTTCAGTGCACTTAAGATTTAGGAGAACTAGAGTGAGACTTGAAGTTAAGATGGTTGTCACTCGAGAAAGTGCTGTAGAGTGAGGTCCGGTCTCGCGATTTCGTTCGAAAGGTCCAATTGTAATTAGTCATTCTTTGTCATAGGAGAATTTAGATGTTAACTAAACAAAATTAACTTTTTATTATTCCAGTTATAATTAAATAGTAATGATTAATTCCATGGTATTTTTTGTCGTATTGAAAGTTGAATTTCTTTTGTTAACTGATCATTGATAAATATTTTTTAATATAAGCAGCTCGTATTCATATGGAAGATGTAAGTATAGCTTACAAAATCTTGCATGACACATTTCATAACATACATAACAATCCTAAGTTCTAAGTTATGTATATGTTGGAAACGCACGCAGCATTTTATTAAAAATAAGTCCATAATTCAATATTTTTATCATGGCTTTAGCATATAAAATAGTTTCTCCTCTTTTTACTACAGAGGAAACGTTGTATTGTTACATTTCAGTAACAAGTTCCGTGAATATACCTCGGTACCATCATACGCCGCACTTGTAACCGTATCATGTAGATATTATATATCTCTTTCGTTATTACGTGTTTCCTCGGGTCATGGCCCGATTCAAATTTATCTTGCAGTAGAAGGGAGCTTTCTGCATAAACCCAGTTTGTCCCGTGTGCAGCGCCTTCGAAGTGAATTTCCACAACCTGTTTCACTATCGGCCTACATTTTCCACTTCAAGATTTGATCCTTGGTTTTTCTCGCCGTGGAAATCTTTCCCGAATTTGTCTCCAACCATGACGAGAGCCTCAGGAAAAAAGATTATTAACTAATTAGTGACGGAATTTCACACTAATTTCATTCATTGCGAACTGCCATTCAACACATTTCTAACAGAAAAAAGCAATTTTTTAAAGTGTGAACGTACGTGTAAATTTTTAGTATGAATTATTTGAAATTGTACAAATAATCAAAACAGAGAAACTTAATCTAAATTTAAACAAAATACTGTTTACGGATTGTAACACGTTTCCATGGCGAATCTTATCCAAAAATATCAATAAATGCCGCTATAATCCATAACAAAACAATTTCCAAAATTAATTATATTAATTTATCTACTTTTTCCAGATCCTCCTCAAGATTAATCCCCATATTCAACTCCATAACGTCATCGACATATTCATTTCGCTTTAGATCCCTCCATTCTGCTGTTCAGTTTTTCTAGATGTCAGGCATTTGCCGAATTGTGGCGCCGTCCTTTTCAAATTAAAAATTACCCTTCTAAGGTGAGAACTGGCCCAGAATTTTCAGACATCAAGTCTACCAAGGCCGGCGTTCCCCAAGGGAGTATCCTAGGACCAATCCGCTATAGTTTCCGCTGATATTACTATACACCTTAACACCCACATCACATCTTGACCCTATCCTTGTAGGAAAAGCAACAAAGCAACACAAGATCATCTAGACCTCATTACCGACTGGTGCACTCGGTGGCTCATCAAGCTAAACAAACAAACGGGCTGGCACGTGAGTTCACAACTAGAAGAATTTCCTTATCACCAGTGTACATAAACAGTGAAGTAATCCCTCGATCCGAACAAATCCGCTTCCTGGGGTTCTACTTGGACAACTACGTCGCATCATCAACGCTCTATTCTACCTCCCTAACCAAACAATTCAGTTATAGCGGTCCGGTGGAGACACCGACGCTAAACGCTCCTCGCAGGAAGTGTATAAAAGGAAAAATAAAAACGACCATCCCTACGAAAGGGTAGTCACTTCAGTGTAGTACAGTCGTTTGTCCTGTTTGTTGAGAATTAAGAAGCTCGTCTACACCCCAAGGTACCGATGTTGCAACATCCATTCCAAAATTAATGTTAATTGTGCTCATGTTCATTTTTGTATAACATTTTGTAAACACTATGTAATAAAGGATGTTATTGCGTATTTAATTTTTTAATCTTAATCATTGTGATCTTGAATCTAAAACTACTTAATCGAAAGACGCAATACAGTAATTGTAAGAACTAGGCATCCCATTCGTGAGGATTACGATTCCACAACTTCTACTCCAAGCTCTCCTTCCGCATCAATCCATTAGCTAAGTAATGCTAGGCCTCTTCTCAACGTCCTATTCTAACGTTGTTAACCTCCGTGCCGCTGAAAAAGACAATGGCCTCATAACCTCCTGAAACTACCCTAAACCATTTTTTGACGGGGTCCGTCCTGATTTTGTGGGGCTACATAATAAAATGACGAGTAGGTAATAAATTATCTTTTCCGCAATAGGCTGAGATGGCTAAAGTCTTCCCTAAACGCTGAGAGTTCCAGCCATCGCCGGTCTCCTCTCCCCATCCCCGTGGTCTGACAGATTCCTGACAGATCTTTAATTGTTCACTACTAACACATGGTTAAACGTATACATTTTGTACAGAAAGTCAAAAACTTTTCATATGCGCCTGATTTGTTGAAAAGATATTTTATGTGCTGAAGAGGGGACAGACTACTTGGAAATTGTTTGTTAAGAATTTGATTATTTATATCATTTCTATTGGAACAAAGAAAACTATAAAATACTACAACCTACAACCAATCACGCTAGGCAAATAACAAAATTTACAGTCGAGTAAACCTTTCAAAGTAAATTACTACTTCCTACTACAATTTAATAACATATAAAGGTAAGAACACGTTTTCAACACGTTCAACACACATAATATCAAATATTAAAAATTTTTTATAAATACACTTAGATCTAAAACATCCATTTTCGGACTGATATATCTAATCAAAGTTGTCACAAACTAGCAGATGTTATTATCAGCAGAATTCCTACGAAAATGACCAGTTACGACCAATCGAGAACGCACTGGAGAATTGGCGACTGCAAAAACTCAAGCAATATCTATATTAATTGAGTCGTGATTCTTCCACATTGAACAAACCCCCAATTATTTTTCCTTATTTTCATTAAAGACTTGGTAAATTCACTGAGAGTAAAAAAAAAAGGGGACACCATTACTACTTTTAATTATCTTTTAGATAATCCTCCAATGTTTATCTTACAACAAGATTTAGTCTGTTTTAAAGGATGAGGTAAATAAAACACCCATAAAATATCCCATTTGTGTTTACTTACAATTGGATTTTGTGAAAAAATTGCAATAGTAATAAATTCAACCGTTCAAATTTTGTAATAAAATGCAACTTACGTAAAAAATTAAGTCGAAAGATGAGAAACACTCTGCTAAGTGGGAGGTTACAGTTACAATCCTTTAATAACCAAATAGTCAAGTGATAAATAACGTTTTAGTTTATAGTATGTATAATTTCAGGATAGGCCAACATTTTATTATTAACAAAGACGTTATCCTGCTTAGGGATCAACATGCGCCTCCAATCCAGTTAGTGTAACTCAATTTCAAGATGAGCCACGATTATTTCAGATAACTTCGAATGAACTGAGGTCATTTTGGTTAGAGAACAGACATCGTCATACTTTTTTTATAATCTTAACTACTTGACACTTATAATTTCTACAAAGATAACTCTTTAGATTTAACACAGTTTTAAACCTGTTGTCACTATACTCTAAATGCTTTGTTAAGAATTATAATGGTTGTAAAATAACAATATATAAAATCGAATTTTTTTAAATTTTTTCAGTATTAACAATTAATCAACAACTAATTTTCTAACTACCTAACACATTTAATTAGTAATTACATAAACAACTGGCAATTCTTTGAACAGATTGATGGCATAAGATCACCTTTAATTAGTATAAGAGGTGGGGTCCCCTAAGGATCTGTTCTTTGACCAATCTAATTAACATCTTTATAAACGACCTTTGCAAGCTAAAAACCACAGCTGAACTGGCTATCTGATGATGGCCTTTCTACAAGCTCTTACAGGGTTGATTCTATTTGCAGAAGATTATCAGTGACTAAATATTTTGAAAAACGGAAAATCAGATTTAATGATAAAAACTGAGGCTGTTTACTCGACGCAGACCGTACATTGTCAATCATGTCATAATAAATAACTCGCCAATACCATGGCCTAAAAATGGTAAATACCTTGTAATGGTGTGTATACAAGACTTAAGTTTAGTTGTCATGTTGATAAAAAATGCTCAAAAGCATGGATCATCTTAAGGAGTCTTTACCAGGTCTTTAATAAGCGTTCATATATGAACGGTCAAAATAAAAAAACTTATTTAGGAACTGTACATACGTCCATTAATAACTTATAGTGCTCCCATTTGGGGGAATATGACTAAAAAATGCTAAAATATGATAAAAAATGCTCAAAAGCATGGATCATCTTAAGGAGTCTTTACCAGGTCTTTAATAAGCGTTCATATATGAACGGTAAAAATAAAAAAAACTTATTTAGGAACTGTACGTACGTCCATTAATAACTGCTGCTCCCATTTGGGGAAATATGACTAAAACCAATTTTTTTAAACTCCACGTAATCCAAAATGTCGCTGTAAGAATTATTGGAGGGTTTCCACGTTGGACTCCGAGTCCGAGAGACTACATGATTGCTTGTGGTTTTTTTTGTTAACATAAATTTTTTTACCCACAAACTGATATGGAATTACTCGTACCGATTTGTATTAAAAAAAAAAAAAAATGACCTGTAAATATTGTAGTAGGAAGTCATAGTGAAATTTCACTTTCCCTACATTAAAAAATTAATGTATATATTATTGTGCACATGTACAAATAAAAATTTATTCTATTCTATTCTAGAGACTACATGTAAATGTAGCTTAAGAATCTATAGGGCACTTTTAAATTTGTATAATTCATGCATAAATAGCCCATTAGTACATATAAAAATTTTCTTACTTATTATAGGGAAGACTTTAACTACCTACTAAACCTACTAAACTATGTACTAAATACAAGCATATTTGACTTAAGCACATATTGTTTGACAAATTATTAATATGTGTTAAAGGAACCGTGTATCTGCCCATTTACCTGGTTTAACAAATTGCTGAGATAAATAATGTGAAAATAGATGTTAAGTCTTTGTCTGTTTGTTAATTTGTTGTATATAGCAAGTACTTGCATATTATTATTGCCTTATTTATTAATGCCATGTACCTACATTTAATAATGTCTTTAATAGCTTTATTGTTTTGTAATGCCTATATATTAACGTAAAATTATCCTTATATTTAATACACACTAGGTGAAAAAGGTACAATCATGCCCTGGAGCCAACTGAATACAATTATGTAAACAAATTACTGTGAATCAAAACTTATAAGCAATAAAATTCATGCTGAAGCTGCTAAACTTCATGATACATTAATTATCATACAACAATTTCGGGAACACATTTATGGAATTTTTTTATTATCGAATATTGTTAATTTATCGCACATTAAAATTTTGATTAAAACGAGTCTATCCCTATCTTTAAGGATTATGAACTATTTTTTACAGGAATGTGGCCCGAGGCATATGACACGCCTGAAAATAGCGAGACGGCCCTGGGCCACTGTTTTGACCGAAAAGTTTAGAAATCCAGTTTTTCGCCCAAAACCTTGGATACCTCACATAAAAACCTGACTTTCGTCCAAAATACAAACATAATTATTACAAAAACAAACGAATTGTTTTTCATTCCTTAAGGATAAAAAGGTCCTCGTTGAAAATAATATATACGGCTTAATCTATTTATTATGTAACTGTATGACTAAATCCGTCCGATCATATTTACGAATATTTAAACATTACGTAAATCTTTTGATGAATATTATGACCTGAATTCCAGTCTGGGTCCGCCTACTCTCGCTGTGCTTGGCTCACGAATTATCAATATGCTGATAAGTAATAACCATTCAAAAAACTTTTAGTTGTTTTCAATAGTTCTGTAAAAAATGTTATCTATTATTATTATATATATTATTATTATAATTTTTAAGGGCGTTTTAACGGCTTATTATATATATTATAAATATTTTAAAGAATGTCAGTTTGTTTTTTGTCGGATAAAATTAAGTAGGGCTTTACACTAACCCTCTTTCCAGAACAAAAGCAAAAATAAATAAATTCTTTGAATTTTAGTTTGGTCGGCTCTGTTGTTCATGTTAAATAAACAAAAAATTCAGATATTTTTATAATCATCAACAACAACACCTGGCAAAACCTATATACCTATTTCTGGTCTCATATGCCCTGTCAAATATTGGAGAAAATTAAACATTTTACCAGGACATAAAAGATAGGGGAACGAGGAGACGGATAAATTGGTCAAAGAAAGTTTCGCCAGGATATCTATCAGCCCTGAACCGTTTCTGGCAAATTGACATAAACGGAAATATCAATCGGACAATGGGTCTTCTGGTCTTCCGAGCTATGGAAATGTTTCACAAAGGCATGCAAAAAACGTTCATTAAAGAACCATCTAAGAAAATGCCATTTACCGTTTCTGAATAAAAGTTGGGAAAGAAGAGTCAACTGCTTTGTACAGCGCGTCGTACTCAGTTCGATACATGGGCAGGGCATCTGAACATTTTATAGGCTTATAATCTTTTTGTTAACATTACAAAAAACTATCAATAAGTAGTGGTCTGTTTTCTTGGACCAACGTACATCAAACTTTGTAAGTAAGAGTAAGGAGGAGCCGCACAAAATTCTAAAAAACATTAAAATAAATGAGATGATTATAACGGTACGTGACAACATGAGAGAAAACTCGACTTTGACAAACCCTTCCAAGTGGACATAGATAACAGAGATCTTTGGAAGAAAGGTAGCCCAGGTTTCAGGAAGGGATCCTAATATTGTACACAGATGATGAAACATAGAACAGGGAAGGATAAAAGGCCGAACTAAGGTATAGTACAAGCGCCTTGGATTAACAACAATTTTGGAATAACAATTTTCCCAGCGAGGTTCATGCAATACAGCTCTTTGTACAGG